TACTACGATATACCATGATACTTTAGAGTCTAGAAGGTTTGCAGGGCTCCGGGGCTCCAGTGTTGTCCTGTCTCGAGGGACTCCTTTGGCATGCAAGGTGTTTGTGAACTCGGATGCAATCGCGGAAGTTTGGGCATGTATGAACACAGACCCGTCTGGGTATTCATCAACGGATGTAGGAGCCTGAATAGTCTAATTGTCGTGTAACTTCTACCATCTCGTCTCTAACATTCCATCTTCAGATACACCCAACACATCCCAATACTGTGTACCTCTTCCACCCCACCATCGTTCGTCGGATAAACACCGGCAAAAGTATGCTAGCCCGTCAGGCATTTGTCCCTGGAGATCAAAAATGCCCAAAAGACTCATGGTATGGTCTTTGGGCCCAAAGGCCTCATTCTATGTGTCCTTAGAGCCCTGGGGTATGTGCATGTTACAACCTTGAGGATGAGAGCGGGCTCCAATCTCGGTGGTGTGTGGCAGCCGCCGCACGCATTGCTTGTGGTTACCAAACGTCGCCGTGCGAGAAAGCCGCAGCATGGAACGGTTCAAGTCATCAGCCCCTGAAGCTTAAATCCTTGAGCACGGTGGACGTGGTGGACGTAGTCGTGGCTTCATTCTTACTCCTCGTACTGCTTTTCTGCTCTTTTCTGCTTTTGTTTTTTCTTTTCTTTGTTGCTGCTGCGGCTGCTGGTTCTTTGGTAACCGTTAGATTGCAGCAGTTACTTTCGAAGTTGTTCTTGGGTGGCGGTGCTGGTGCTCGTGGTGGGCGATTGCAGGATCGTGGTTGTAGTTAGTGCGATGAGGTGATCGCTTTCGTCCTTGTTGTGAAAGGAGAGGTTGGCTCCACCACTGTAAACTCGGACCTTTGGCCCCCCCTGGGCTTGTAGGGGTGATATAGGGGCCTTGATAACCTATGCCATTTTGGGAGTTTCTTGTTATAAGTATGGTATAATGGGCCCCAAAACCCTGTTTTGATGATAAGGCCCCGGTATTACCCGGAATCAAGGCCCTTCGCTGCTGTCGTGCTGTTGTCGCAAGCGTTTTCATCACAATCAGCTTCACTGTCCCAGGCATGTCTCTCTTATACGACTGCTTGCAATGTGATTGCGACTTGCAAACGTATCGCGTCTGGTGCAACCATGAATCTTCAATCCTTAAATCCTGAAATCCTAACCCCTACATCCCTAAAGCCCTTAGCCCGACCCCCCAAATTATACTATAGTGCATTCTACGAATCAGTTACATCATATTGTAATTATTTTGTTCGACTATGGTGTGCTAGCTTGTTAAAATCAGCGAGGTACCACCTCCTCGCAGTCGCACTTCAAGGCCTACGAAGCCTCCGAAGCGAGGCAGATCCCGTGCTGCGCTCGTAGATCACTGCGGGTTTTGGGGACGACTTCGAGGGCATTGAAACACAGATCTTCAGGGTTTGAAATTTTGGGTTCAGGGTTTGGAGTTTGGAGTTTTTGGTTTCAAAAGTAAATTCGCGGGTGGATACTAGAGCCTAGTTGACCATATATGTTGACGATTCTTGTCGTTTCGAGTTCGTACGCTGACAGGCGAAGCGGAGTGCATGTTCAGGCTTTAGCCTGTCGGAGGAGGATTTAGAGGTTTGGCGGAAACCCCAAACCCTAATGACCACACCTGACCCTACGGGGTCTTCGAATTATCCGACCCCCTATAGCAAAGAGAGGAAAACGATGCTTAGAAAAAAAACAACCCGGGCTGGCAGGAATGCCAGGAGCACTCCGGTCCGGCCTCAGCCTCAGCCTTCCGAGCATGCCTCGTCCTACCTTTGGTTAGTAGGGAATGGAGGAATGGGGTACAATTATAACTACTAGTACTACCATTCTTCCATTCCCTACTAACCAAAGGTAAGTCGTCCATTCTGAGTTCCATCACCAGAATTGGAGGTTCATGCTCATGTTTTTTTCCTGATTTCATGTGTTTCTTTGTCGAGGTACTGCTGGTGTGTTAGGATGTCCTCATGTTTGTGTTGGTCTTGTTTTGCATCTGCCTCTGCATGTTTATCCAGTGCTTACCTGAACCTACGAACTAAACCCAACCCGAAACCCTAAACTGTAAACCTTGAACCCTAAGCCAAACGATAAACAAGCCGAAAAGAACCAGCCCATCCATTCTCTATGACAAAATCTTTCAACCCTAAAGAGCCCTTAGTCACAGCCTGATACGTCCTCGGCCATCTGCCACTTCTATCACGGTCACCGTTGCCGAGTCCCACAAGCCTTAAACCGAAGAAAGAAGAACCTTAACCCTAAATCTCTGAAGCCCGAACACCCTAAACCTAAAACCCTGAACCCTAAATTCCCCAAACCCTACCCGAAGACCCAGGCCCATCGTAGAGTCTGCGGCTGGTCCTGGGCCACGTCGGGAACTGAGTCTCACTGAGAAGTGAGTCACTAGTTCGGGGTTTAGGCACGTTTAGGGTATAGCATGGTATAGCGTCTCGTGTCTGGAGTTTATGACCCGAATATGGAACTTTAAGTCGTAAGATCTTTCTTCTTATACGGGCCCCAGAAAGGTCACCTACACCCATTTTTCAGAATCCCCTCTGCCAAGTAACGCCGAATCCCCGGGTAGCAATGTTGCTGAAGGGCTCAGGCTCTAGGGTTTAAAATTTAACGTTGCTCCGAATCAGTAGCACCCCAAAGCCCAGTCAAATCTCAGCTCTGATCCTTTAAGGCTTCAAGCTAGTGGAACCGCCCATAGGAAACACGAAACCCTGCAGCTAAACCCAGCCAGACCCCAAATAACCTGCGTATTTTAGGGCTCCTTATTATGGTTTCTTTCTCAAGTCCTTGAAAAGGTAGAGTTATTCGGGGTCCAAGGCCCTTCCACGCAAGCTCAAAGCTTCGGATCCTCAAAAGAAACCCCCCTTGGAACCTAAGATCCTTAACCTGGGCTCTTGTTAAGGAGTGTATGTTAAGTTAGCACGCTACTATTACTGCTACTGCTACTACTACTACTACTACTACTACTACTACTACTACTTCTACTTCTACTTCTACTACTACTACTACTACTACTACTACTACTACTACTACTACTACTACTACTACTACTACTACTACTACTACTACTACTACTACTACTACTACTACTACTACTACTACTACTACTACTACTACTACTACTACTACTACTACTACTACTACTACTACTACTACTACTACTACTACTACTACTACTACTACTACTACTACTGCTACTACTACTACTACTGCTGCTGCTGCTACTACAACTACTACTACTATACTACTACTACGACGACTACTTCTACTACTGCAGAGAAACCTGATTTTTACTATTGATCCCTATTATGGTAACTTGAAGTAGACTCCTTAACAAGAACTCAGTAATCCTTCAAGTCCTAAATCGAAAAACTGCAGCCAAGGGACTATCCCAGGGGCCTTAGAATAGGGTTTTTGGGGTATATCGCATTATACTCGAAATATAATGAGGAGTCCACCAAAATAGTATATATTTTTCAATAGATATTCGAAGGAATACCCCCAACATAGTATGAGTATGTCTTTAGGCCCCTCTAGCATGGATGCTGCGATCTTCAAACAGTAGTTCATGCCTAGGCCCTCTTCAGATCTGGGAGAGACACCGCCGAGAGCTCAGGGGTTGGGTCGGAGGGTTCCGGCTGAGGCTTTGAATGTAGTGGTAAGGTTTCAGGTTCTGGGTCGAAGGTTGAGTGTTTAGGATGAAGGGTTTTCTGTAGGGTTTAGGATTCATGGTTTCGTTTACCCCAAACCCTAAACCCTAAATTCAGGGTGTACTATTCAAATCTCACTGTTTCGGTCCCGCAAGGCTTGGGGGGACTTAGGCCCTGCAGGCTTTGCTTTTGGGGAAGGTGAGGGCCAGCTGATGTGGTCGTTTTTTCATAGATCCCCCGTAGATGCGTGAGATCCAGAGCTACATTGAAAGCCCGAACATAATGTAACCTGACTAAGAAACCTCGGGCCTTTATTAGGGCTCCTTACTGAAGTCCTACTTGATCTTGGTTATAGGCCCAGGGTTTCTGAAATCAGGAATCTACATCATGCCTTCAGGGTTTTGGGTTTGTCCTGGGAATTCAGAGGCCCAAATAATAATTGCCAATACTATTTCGGTGGTTCCATATTAGATTTACCTACATTTTTCCAAGCACTTCGTGCTTTTCGAGGACCTCCGGTCGAGTCTCTGACTTCCTGCAAGCCGGACCCCCAAACCCGAAACTACCCATAGGCCCCATGGTAGTTCCTTTTTGGGGTCCATATGTAGAATCCTATAAGGTAATTCCAAAAAGTAAAACTACTATGGGGCCTATGGGTAGAGGTGTGACCCGGCACAAGGTGAAGACTATCCTGCGCTGTCTGCTGCTTCCGGTGAGACTGGGGCAGGCAGGGAGTTTGCTGGTTTTACGGTTTGGCACGCAGAAGTCGTAGATGTTCGGGAGTTTGGATTCTTGTTCTTCGAGGCTTTTGGGACTTCGACGTGGGACTAAGGGTTTGGGCTTCGGGGTTGAGGTGGGGCCCCAGGGATGAATTGTGACGTAAGGCATGAGCCTCGTCGCCAATCGAGGAGGCCAAGCAGGCATGGCGGCAGGAGGAGGAGGAAGAGGAGGAGGATGAGCATAGCAGAGTAGCAAGCAGCAGCAGCAGCCAATAGTAAGCAGACAGCATGACGTAGTGAGAGCGCTGTGTAGTCTTTGAGCGAGTGCTTTGCATTCTCGCCTCCTCCAACGTTTTTGTGGCTCGGGAATGCATTCCGACATATAACACTAAACCCTCAAACCCTAAGTTTTAAAGCCCTAAAGCCTAAACCTACAACTCCAAGTTAGACAGAGTTGAACTTCCAGTGAAGCGTAGACCCTTCACCCCAGAGCCCCTGGATAAGAAACTCGAGAGAGTCTGAGCTAGGCCTAAGCCCGACGCTCGGGACGGAGAGGCTCCAAATACATCCCTGCTGCTGAGCTCGTTCACATGCGGCCCATTCCAGAACGGAACTTTGGTACCACGGCTGTCGGGGGTTTCAGGTAGTTCAGGGGCGGGGGGGGGGGGGGGGGGGGGGGGGTCCCGTTACCTAAGCTCCAAAAATCGACCTCCCTTTTGTCAAGCTTACAATACTTGGATAAGGGTGCGGGCTTCGGGGGGATTAGCAGACTCGCAGACAGTGTGTCATTTCGTTCCAGCAGGATGCAGTTTCTTGTAGCAGCCTCCAGTCACGGTGATGGACATAGCCGTCGTGCGCGAGCTAACTGCACAGGTCAAACTGGCAAGAGCATATGTCTGCAAGCATGGCCGCGGTGCAGAGCGCAGACCAGCACGACCAGCACGACTACTACTACTACTACTACTACTACTACTACTACTACTACTACTACTACTACTACTGCCCTACCAGCAAGACTGATCAAGCCATTAGCGGCTTCAGCTTTAATATACAGTAGGGGCATTGAAAATTTTTTTCACTTTTATAGTATAGTATGCCCCAAAACCCCATTCCAAATAGTAACGCCCCTATATTACCTGTACCAGCCTTTATCGTGGCAGTAGCAAAGGACGTGGTAGTGTTGGCGCTGTAGCCGTGTCGGAGTTGGAATTGTTGGACCGGCACGTCAGCATGCCATATGCTTTTGCTGCCGACCTCCGCGCTCTTGCCGGATTCTATGCACCCTGGAAGTCCTTGAAATCTAAACCCCGAATGCTCTGTGTTAGTTGCCAAGTCCGTAAACCAGGCTCAGAGGGTCACGGACTTTGGAGTGCACTGGCTTTAACTACTGAATCGCAACGTGAGTGTAGGGCTGGAAAATTGGATCGAAGGCTCTGGGAACCCTCAACCCGAAGGTATGACTAGTTGTCTGCTCTGACGTGTAGACTTGACTCAGAGCTGCTGAAGGTTCTGTTAGCCACTACACGCAGCACCAAGAGGATGCGCAGAAGGCCAGCACCTCAAAGAGCAGGGTGGGCAGCCCACACATCTGTCCTGGGGAAGAGCGAGATAAAGACCAAGTTGTTTTCGACCAAAAATGTTGCTTAAGCAAATACCAATGGAATGGTGTTTTGGGTTTCCTTACACTACTTACAGTACAATATTCTCCAAAACCCTATTATATAGTCTATATAACAGGGTTTTGGAGAATATTGTACTGTAAGTAGTGTAAGGAAACCCAAAATATGAAGACCCCTATATTAGTTTGCAAGGCTGAGACCTCACAAACTCGTGCTTGGTTTTTGTCTGATGGTTTGAAGACTTCATGCTGAGAGGTTCATGGGTAGATTGAAGTGGGGCTATAGGGTCCCTGATGTAGGCTACAACTACAGCTATCCTACTTATAAGCCCTACTTCTGACAACTAACTACCCATGAACCTCCAAGTACGTCCAAGTTCCGGACCTTCCACGTGTCGGCCCGCTACACTGCATTCTGAGCAGATAGGGTTTAGGCTTTGATGCTGTGCGCCTGCTTCCTCTTCAAAGCTTTCTGCACGAGGCATTCTGGAGTTCGGAAGAAAGCCCCTGAACCCCAATCCCGAAGCCCAACCCGACGGCTGCGCGACTTGAAATCCCAAAGTCTCAACCCCTCACCGCCCTAAACCCTAAACCCCTAAACCCTAAACCCTCACCCGACTTCTACCCCTTCCGAGGCACGCCATGACTACTTTCCCTATCGGGATGAGTTTCACCCCAGGCTGTCTGGGCGGGGGATTGGACTGAGTGGGAACTCTGGAGCTTCCTGGGACCTACGGTCGATGATATACATAGGGTTCCTTTAAAGGGATCTATAAGGGTACCTTTAAGGGGTTCCTTTACGGGATCTGTAGGGTCTTAGGGTTCAGGGTTTAGGTTGATGTTAATCCTGCACTACCTTGAGGACCCTAAACTATGAGAAAAATGGTATATTCCTTCTTATAGGTAATGCAGGATTTATATTATCCACAGTAGGGTTTAGGGCTACTGCAGGCTTACGGTACTCCACGGCTTCCTCAAGGCTGTAAGGTTACAATAACTCTTCAGGTTGTAGGGCTTCTATTTAGTACAGGGTTCGGGGTGTGGTCGTCCTGGGTTGCCCGACCGTTTAGGGCTCGCAGGTTTGGGGCAGAGTGCAGCCTTCTCTTCTCCAAGGACAAGAATGAGTACCCGGTCGAGGGACGCAACAGTCTAAGGCATCGTAGGACTTGGTGAACCACCAACTCTCAAGGAATGAACCTATACGTGCGAAGAATTAAGTAGCAAGTCAGCGGCACAACGGTCGGTAAAGCTGTTGCAACAATATAATGCCAGGTTAAGAAGATGAAGAGCAAGTATCATAGTAAACCCTAAACCCCTAAACCCTAAACCCCTAAACCCTAAAGCCTAAAACCCTAAATATGCAAACTATAGACGACTGCCAGAGCTACCAGGTCCAAGAGGCTTTTGCATGAGATGGCCCTCAACGCCGTCAGTCAGTCCTTAGAGAGGCGGGATGTGTTTTGGTCGTTCAGGCTTTTGGGATGTTCTTGGGGTTTAGGGTTTAGGGCTTGGGGTTAGGATCGAAGTTACGGACTCGAACTTGGTGTTCGTTATTGTCGGATGTGCGTGTTACTATAGGAGCCGAAATAATCATCAATGCCATTTTGGTGGGTTCTTTGTCATAGTCATAGTAGAACGGGCCCCAAAACCCTTTCTAATTATTAAGGTCCCCAAATTATAGAACCCTTATAGATCCCTTATAGTGACCCTTATAGACCCCCTCAAAGGAACCCTATTCTAATTATTAAGGCCCCTGTAGTAGATTCCAGTGATACTCGATGTTTGTTACCAACCTCATGAGGCAGTGTAAGGCATGGACGTGTGCCTGCATCGTGGGACCATCCCCATGAGTAAACAGTGATCTTCAAGACTTTTAAATTTTTGTGGCTTTAAGCCCCTAGAACCCTTAACGCATAAACCCTAAACCCTAAGCCCTCAACCCTCGCACATCAGAGGAGTTTGGAGGCTTTGGGCCGGCTTTCCAGGCTTTGAGCAAAGGCACCCCTTAAAGGGTGTGCAGGTTGTAGGATTTAAGGTTCAGGGTTGAGTAATGCAGGGTATAGGGCTGACGGAAGGTTCAGGGCTAGCGGGAGTTCCTATGGATGTAGGAAGAGTATAAGAAGGCATGATTCCGAGCAGAACGAGAACGAACAACAGCAGCCTACACCCTAAACCCCCAAGCCCTCGACCCCCTTCTTTCAGACTTGTTTTCGGAGGTCAGGCAGCGTGGCCTCTGATGACACCCGCTCTGTCTTCACGCTCCCTAGCACTGCGGCCAGCCGAAAGGCCACGCGTCAGGTGAAAGTTGTGTACTACGCAGTATGTGTTATGTGTGGTATGTGGTATAACATACACAGATGTTCCGTTATACATCAGATACTGCATGTAATATATGATGCGGTCTATCTTGTCTTGTTTCCCATATCTTATAGCCTGTGTCTCATACGATTCGCATTCCTCATGCAGATGATATGTGATATGCGTTGTATTGGAGAGTTGATGTTTGATATGTTATAGATCAAACTGTTTATACCTTTGATTCCTATATTGAGTTCTATACAACATACAGTTTATTAAGTTGCACAAGTTCTCCTTAAGGCCTTACGGTTTAGGGCATCAGATGGGTTTTTAAATGGGTTGCAGGCTCGGGTTCTATTGGTTTCAGGCTGGCTTCCAGGTAATACTACAGTATTATTGTTTGTATTATTCCTGCTAAGCCTCCAGGGCCTTCCTGGGTTTTCAACTTCGAAAGACAGAAAAGCACAGCACTGGTGCAAGGATCCCTTTCCAGGTGCCGGAAAAGTGTGTGAGTTTGGGTTTAGGGTTTAGGGTTCCTTTAAAGGGATCCTTTCGGGGCTCCCATGAGGGATCTATAGGGCTTAGGGTTTAGGGCGATACATAAGAAATCCATCACTGTTTTGTTTTAGTTTAGGGTTTAGGATTTGGGGGTTTGGCGTGGCATCGTTTTGCAAGTCGCCATGCCTGAGGCAGGATGTAATCATTACCGTGCGATCCCACCAATATCCAAACTGGAGCAGTTGCAGCGCACGAACTGCTCGCCACGAAGAAAGGCCATGCAGGGTCCGAAGCACAGAGGAAGCTACCACAGGGCTTAAATAACTACCTGTACTATTTTGGGGTTCCTTATTATTCTTAAAGTGTAATGGGCACCCCCCAAACCCTAGTCTAATTGTTAAAGACCCTGTAGTCCTGCCAGGGCGACCCCTCTGCGATTCCTGGGGTTGGAGTCTGGGAAGATGAGAAAAGGGAGCTTCTGGCTCAGGGTGGCGAGACTTACATATGGGTAGTTCTCCAAATTAGGATCCCTGTTAGGGTCCTTTATGAGGAAAAACGGACCCTAATCTAGAGAACTACCCATATGGACTAACAGCATCAGATGTGCCCAAACCACACTTCGCAACGATACCGTGCTTTTCAAATCCTAGCAATGCTTACAGCTTTGTTGGTCCGGTGTGCTCGCGGCACAGCATGAGGTGCTCCGTCCACCTCCGCACCCTAATATGGAAGCAGCTGCCCACACATTATTCCTAAAAGCTCCTTCTATTGAGTTTATGAATGCTATGTCCTATCAGATACCCCACAACCCTACTCTAGTCATGAAGGCCCTACATTATATTCATGCTCGAGCTTAATCGTAAGTTTGAGTCCCGTCTTAGGCGGCGGAGACTTTGAGTAGCAATACCCCCTTATCGTCCCCATAGACTTCTGCTAACTACTGCGATATCCCTAAACCCCAAACCCAATAACCCTAAGGCCTGAAGCCTAACCCTCAACCCTGTCCGGATTGTTCGTTTCACAGGCAGGCTCCAAAGCTTCCAGTGCCAATCAGTCACTGCCCAGGGCTCAGCGTGGGGGCTCGAGAGTCCCTTCAGTTCCTGCGGGTTCTTCAACGGGCTTCTACAAGGGTCACCATGATGGTGTAGCTATTAAGCCATAAATTCCGCAGAGAAATTCGAACATTCCGTGGGGTTCCTCAACACGGTCTCATTATGGGTATGATAAGGCTTTAACTAAGGTAGATTTGACATGGAAGCCCGAATGACTACCTCGGCCATCCTGGGGGATGATATGACCCGAAGCCCTATTCCCATGTTTAGTTAAGGCCCCACAAGTAGTCGCGTGAAGCTTCTTCGTTGCTGCTGCCCTAGGCTCAGACATGGCCTGTGTACACCTCTAAGACTGAGACTGCTGGGGCCTGAAGAGTTAGAATAAGGCCTTGTACATATTCAGATAGTGTAGCTAAAACGATATACCAGTGCAATATACTTGCTGGGCCGTAGACTCGCAAAGAGAAGCCTGGATGTAGAGCGCAAACAGTAGGACATAGTATAGGATTCGTATGTTAAGGATCGTTGCAAAGTGACCATATCAACTGCACCACTGCGCGGAATGTAAGGAGATCCCGATCCCTATCCAGCTCACGGCTGCCGACGGTCGCAAGCTCAGTGAGCTCTGCTGCTGTCAAGTCTGCAGCCTGTACTGGTCAGGATTGAGGGCTTTAGGGTCCTTCTGCTTTAGGGCTTCAGAGGCGGGCGCAGGATTCTGTTCGGGAAATTGTCACAGCCGAGTCTTGACCCGGACCGCAAAGGAGGCACCTGCGGCCGCACCTTCATGTTCTGAGATGTTGATCTTGGAGTGTTCAGGAGCCGGAACACGTCGTTGTCCATCCAGTCCTTCTGTTCTTCTCCGGATGTACCACTCAACTGTGACGACCCTTAAAAGGAGCATGCACAGAAGTCTTCGTATGTACTTACAGGGCTGTAGCCGGCCTGCGTTACAGGCACCCGACAAGGACCGCTTGGTTCCTTGCCTCATAGTCGAAACCTCCTTCCAGAATCCAAGTCCACAGTCGGAAGCGGAAGACTAATGAATACGAGTCCTTTGGGTTCCTGCTGATATGGCTCCTGTAGAACACACCCCAAAACCCTAAATGAATGATTGAGGCCGGGACCCCAAGCCACGAAACCACAAACTCTAAACCCTCAACCCTACACCCAAAACCAGAAACTCTAAACCAGAAGCTCTAACTAGAAAGCCACCAACTCTAAACCCTCAACCCAAAACTCTTAAACCGGAAACAGAGCAAGCTTTTGACTCTACTGCTGTGGAGAAAGGGGCTATTGCATTAAAAAAACCGAAACCAGAAGCGCTAGACACCACCTGCCAGCCCGAATCCTGAGGGAGACTCGCTCCGCGTGGGTGGTGGACAACCCGGGATGTTGGCCAAACGCCGAGCACAGGCATTCTTCAGGCCCCAATGCGATGCGGGAATTAGGGATTCAGATGCTATCTTTCCATTTTTCGGCAATCCAGCCTCCATGCCGCTGATGTCCTTTAGACTCAGGTCGTGTCTGATATTATGGTCGGAAGTAGAAAGTAGGATAGCATATCGGCGCGCGATCAGACCTACGCCGAACACGTGCGCCCAGCTCAAGCCATCCCTGCTTGGTGAGTAATGGGACTTAGTAATTACGGTGATTATTAGGGTAACTATACTTATAACTGCTTATAACCCCAATTAAGGTACTTATAACCATACTTACTAAGTCCCAGGATCCTCCAAGTAGACAACCCAATACGTGAGAGGCCGAGGTAGCGGTTGCTGCGAAGCAGCATGTCCTTTGATGTAGGTGGGCGCATTCTCAATGCACCTACGGCAAATCTGAAATCCTGAAATCGTAAAGACGTGAGCCGCAAACCCGACAAGCCTAAAGCCTTAAACCCTAAAGCGCTAAACCATGAAGCCCTGAAGGCCAAAACCCTGTCAACTTAAAGAGCTTGGAAAGCCCAAGCCCAAGCCTCAAGCTTTTCAAGGGCTTACTTCAAGGATTGAACTGCTTGAGGTTCCGGCTTTCGGGCTTTAGATGTTGCAGTTTTAGGCTTAGGGCTAAGGATTTGGAAATGAGTTGGCGATTAGATACGAAAATCTGGTCTATACGATCTTGGGAAAATTAACTGCAAGGCTGGTCAGCAACGAGAAGTCACATTAAAGAGAAAACTTCGTAATAATGTGAACAACAACCACAACCACTGCCACAACCATAGTGGCAACAGTCTTAATCCATAAAGACAAGGCTACTAATCAATCGTGAAACTGAGTGCAGAACTTGGGAGGTCACCGAGCCAGTCCAAGTTCGATCGCTGCTCGCCCGAAAGAGACGGTTTGGTCTAAGGTGGTTGGGCTGTGTCGAAGTCTACTTAGAGGATCATGGGGCTTAGTAACTAGGGTTATTACTAGAATTAGAATAGCTATACTTGCAGTTACTTATAACCCCAATTAAGGTACTTATATCCATACTTACTAAGTCCCATGATCCTCCAAGCAGGATCTGGATAACGAGGATGATGAGAGTGATGAAAATGAGGAGTGTCAGAGCCGCCCGGATGAGCAGAGGGATGATGAGAAGGAGCCTGATGATCCGGACGGAAGAACCGTCATCGGGAGAGGAGGAGAACACACCGTTCAGGGACATCGTGAAAGTGACTGACAGTGTATAGCCATGGCCTGGAAGCGGGGCTCTAGACGAACTGACCCCCGGCCTGAGAGTAGTAGGTTGGCAGTGGTGGTCGTAGTAGTCGTCCTTGTAATTTTAGTAGTAGTTGTTGTTGTTTGCAGCACGTGCCGCCGTACCAGTGGCTGCAGTGGTAGAAACACAACGAGTGAAGAAGGAGAAGTAGGAAGCGGGGAGGAGACAGAGAGCAACTGTAGGCATAGTAGGTTGTCGCCGTTGCCGGGGTGGCAGTACAGTAGTTGAAGCAGCAACTGGTATCGAAACAGAACACAGAAAAAGAGTGGCTGCGCTTCAATTATCATTACATGTCAGCAGTAGTTGGGAACAACGCAGTTGGGAACACCTGCTTTCGGAGCATACCTACGTAGCTCATGTATGCGGTCTTGAGTCTTGACTATGAATTAGCGGAGTCATGGCTGGCATTCTTATGAATGCGAGGGCAGCATCAGCATCGCGATTGTGACCATGATCACCGTTTCAGCTTCAGGGATTGGGAGTACTTAGGATTTTCGAAAGACATACGGAGCGGAAGTGAGGTATCAGGTGCTTCATATCTCGAGAAGAATGCCGCAAGAACCGCATATGCGACGGTGACACGTTTTATTGTCTTTAAGGTCAGCCCTGAACCCCAAAACTCTGAACCATAACCCTAACCCCTAAAAGGCCCTAAACCCTATAAACCTTAAACTCTAAACCTACCCAGTCCGCAGAACAGCAGTTAAAGGAAAGCAAACCTAACCAGTTCCGGGCATGAGGCGACTGGTGCCTCGGCGTCTTGGAGCGCGACTTCGCCATAGTTGGGTAACCTTTTACATGTTTGGTTGTCAAAATTTGGGTCCCTTGTTAGGTCCCTTAATACGGCACTTAATATTTAGGGGTACCCAAAAAAGGACCATAATTTGGACAACTACCCACATGTTTGGGGATATTCAAATTAACCCCTAATACTATTCCAACCATAGTTGTGTAACATGTTCTTGGTACTTAAATCCAGCAAGGAATAAAAAGTCAAAACTTTTGCTATTATCCCCAAACATGAGTTCAAGTTACCATAATAGGCGTCTATAGTGAATAGTACAGTTTCCTTATCATGGTGACTTAAAATAACCCCTTAACCCCTACGCCCGTATAGAACCCTCAAAGGAACCCTAAATCATGGTAACTTAAATAGAAACCCAAAGGGTCCAAGTACCTAATAATTACTACAAATCATCTAATCTTCAAAATCCTAACCTACGTAACTACTAACCTACAACCGGGTACCTAATTTTTGGATCCTTTGGACCCTTGGGGAATTCCTGAACTAAACAGTTGTGTGGTTTAATACATTTTTTTTGTATGTATTAAAACTTGTGTTTTTGAATACAATTTGTTTTGTCTTTATGAAAAGTTGTGTTTTTAAATACATTTTGTTTTGTAGTTATAAACAACTGTGCTTTTGTTTAATAAGCTTTGTTTTTTAAAAGACCATTTATTGAACCCAGGAGAGGGACCTGCACCTCTTACCTCCACGGCCTGGACCTCGGCTCTTGCACCGGCCGAAGCGCAAGAAAGCAATATAGATTAGAAGCTGCCTCTACCCTGTAATAGTGGTATAATAGGAATATCATAGGGCCCTCATATAATCCTTATAGTCACTATTACAGGGTGGGGGCACCTTCTAAGCAATATGGATGGTTATCAAAATTATGGTCCCTTTTTGGGTATCCTAGATGTATTAGGTGCCGTATTATAGTAAGGTCCCAAAAACGGATCCTACTTTCGACAACCACCCATACAGAATGTTTGCGGGTTGGGGGGTTTAGGGTTTATGGCTTTAGGGTTCAGGGCTTTAGGATGCTTTAAGGCTGTGGGGGTTTTGGGCTCAAGGGGTTTCGGGATGTAGGGCTTTAGGGTGTTGGGGTTGGGGGTTTGGTTTAGGGTGGGGCTCTTTTGTTCTCGGCCGAACCGCAGAAGAGCAAAATGGGTAGTTCTCTAAGTTCAGGTTCCTTTTAGGGTCCTGCTTATACGGGTCAGTCCCCATGCCACTGTGGCCTTGGCGAAGTGCTTCCATATTGCCGCAGGTGCAACGAAGCCTGGACGTGAGGGCTGCAAGAAATGATTCGGAAAATATCGGCTTGCATATAGTATAGTATAATATGATAATGGACAGTATAGTTTCGTAGAGTATATAGTACAGCATAACGTCGAAGTTGAGCTGTAGATGCCTAGGCACGGGGTCGTGCACCACTTGTGCGAGTTGTGAAGGGTTTGACGGTGCGTTGTCCGTTGTTTGTGTGGCGTTGCTATTGGAATGGCTTTGTGGTTTTATTCTTGCACCCATCCTGCACTCATTCGCACGCAATAGCCCATATAGCTTTACGGGTATGATCTTACCTCTCCGTAAACTCGGGTGGACACTTAAGGCGCCGAAGCCGAGCACGCGCTAGGATGCTTCACATGATGCTACGACTGCTATGACGAGTTGCGCAGAGCCGCCACCACCACCCTGAACACATGTCCTTACGTATGCAGTCTGTCAGAATTGAAGCGACGGCATGTCGTACCTTCAAGTCTTCTCGTTGGTTTATTAGAAGCTCACACCACAAAGATCGACACTTTTGGGGGGAAAGGAGAACTAATGAGCCGACAAGATTCACGAGCAAGAAAACAGAAACGAAGACATGAGAATAAATGCATGTTTTGTTTCCCGATTTTGCATGTCCTCATTGTGCCTTGGTCTTTCCATCACCCCACCCGAGGCCCTCAACCTCGAACATTTGAATCCTAAACACTTGCCAAGAACAGCCCCTAAACTCCCAAACCCTACTCCGCTGAACCCCGAAACGGTAAAACCCCCTTGAAAACGACCCTAAACGTGCCCAGAACCACTTCAGCCAGAACGCCGTTATCACCCTAATCTCGTCTCCCAGAACTACACTGCCCGGATGTATAACGGCAGCCTGGACAAGTACGGCCAAGCGCTGGCCGAGGTCGGGGGCCAGCTTTATTTGGGGCTCGGGACTACTGTCACCCTTATTGCTCATGATGTATCGCTGCTTAAACTATGTATTCTGGGCCCTCGCGTTTAGGCTGTGAGGTTGTAAGGCTTAGGCTTTTCAGTTTGGGGGCTTAGGGGTTTGACGTTGTCTAACAGTTTTGTCTTGAATTTCGAGTTGTGCGGGCGATGACAGCCTTCCACCCAAGAAGACCGCAGCTCAAGCTTACGAGCACGGGTGTTGTAGCAACCTTTGAACGGCTCGGAGTTCCGGCAGGTTTGGAGGTTTGTAGCTTTGAGGTTTTCGAGGAAGTCGATCGCTGCAGGCCCTGAAGGCCTAGTTATGCCGGGTTGCTGTCATTGCAGAACTTTGGGTTCTAGCAGGAGGCATGGTAACCCCTGTCCCAAGCTGCTCGTCGCAAAGCCGACAGCTAGATTCGAATGAAGACGTCCGGTTCGGAGGAGAGTGTCTGTCATTGTGCCATTTCTGCCTGTCCCTGTGTGCCAGATGTCTGCATTGCTGGGTGGAGAACGTGAGACGCAGCCCCGCGAGCGGACGAACAAGTAAAGTCAGACCGGTAAGCCAACAGTGTCACAACACTGTAGAGTTAAAGGCTGGCAGGTTTTTATATTCTAGCTGATTGTAGCTCCTATCGAACATGAGGATTTGTGGTACGGTTTACAGCCTTGCATCCCGGATTGCTAGCTGACTCGGGATTCAATATTCGTTTCACCCCTCGGAACCCATCTGCACTTGCTTCGGCAGGGTATCCCATCCCTTTCGGTGCCCTCAAGCTCCCACAGCCCTAAGTGCCAAGCCCTCTCGACTATGTTGTATACCTTGCTAAGTTGGTAAACAGAGGCATACTGTGTTACAACAGAGTGTTTGACGGTGATTCGTTCTTGTTGGCATGTGATACAGCAAGTTTTTTTTGGTTCGGTGAAAGTTGTCACATGTTGCTGTACGTGTTTTTTTGTATCAGTTGTGTTAGGTTTTTCCGACTGTTGTTTTCATTGGCTTAGATTTTTGCATGGTTCTCTTACGGCCTGTGCGACTATCTATTTTCTACGTCATTACACGCCGTCACGTTCCCATGCTAGTATGTTATATGTCAGTATGTTTCACTCTCTGTCTGCCATGATAGCTCGACATGCTTTCGTGTATGGCAGCAGGTGCTCATCAGTTGATGCCGTTTGATGCTTTGGTAGTGGTGTCATATAGTGGCAGATGTTGCCGAATGCTGCTAGGTGTAAGAAGTTGCTGTCAGTGCCACTAAACACTTCATGACTGTAGATGATTAGACGCTGCCAGGTGTTTTAGACCGTTGGTTCAGATAACCTGTAGCCTGCAGCTGGTTTCGGAGCCAGCGTCCCTAAACACCAAAAAAGGGGCTTAATAGTTGGAATAGGGTTTGGGGGCCCTTGATACTATGATTAAAATAACGAGCCCCCAAAACACGATTGTTAATTATTTAGGCCGCTATGTTAAGCCAAGTTGTCGGGTTTGGGGTTGACAAGCGCTGGGCCCTAGGCTCCGCACCATACATCCCATGCCTGAAGTCCTTGCCTTTTAGGTTACTCCTCGTGGGTGTTTTGGTTTGCCTCTTTTTGAGAAGGCATCAAGTGCAAGAAACATAGCATAAAGACCGTGGAACCTCACTATGATCCCCTTGAAAAGATAGAACACTCAGCATGTAGGTGGGTTCGGACGCCTGAGCGTGTGCCTGGATCGCCAAGGCGAGCAGTGCATCAGCTAAGGTATGTGAAGGTGTGCAAGAAATGCGGGGTGATGACTCAAAGCATAGATGTTTAGGGTTCTAGGGTTTAGGGTTTAGGGGTCGGTTGCGATGATAGACGGCTTTTAGTCAGACGAAAGAGTCAAGAACTGCTCTTGGTGTTAGAGTTTGTGGCAATTGAAGGGATAGTCTATGTGTATGTATGTAGTGGCTCTACTTAAGTACTAGGATCTTGGGTATATTGGGCGGATCGAACGAGAAGCCCTACAGCTTAGTCTGGACATAATGCGTATAAAATTTTCAATAGTAAAGTTCCTTACGATCGGAACCCGGATCTTCAGAATTTTTTCGAATATAGATTTCGACATATTCTAAGCCTAGTTCTTTTAATATTGGATGGAAAATAGATATACGTATGACGTATGAATATTTATTTCTTAATTTTTAATTTGAAAATATTATTTTTAAAATTTTGTTTTATTGATCTTCAAGAATCTGGTTTGAATCGAAAATATTATATTTAAATAATTATAGAATATAAAATTAATAGAGCGAATAATTTTTAATTAATGGATCGGATAAGTCTATATGAGTATCTCTATGAATGATGATAATCGAATGGATGAGCCTTCTAGAGGAGTGTGCGCAATATTGTATATACTTTGCGCACATTATGATGTTCTATATATAATTTTCTAGATTCTCCGTAATATCTTATCTATACTCGTATTTAAAATTTCCTAATTATTTTTTATATTATTTTATATCATTATGAAA